AAAGCGTGTAAAGAGCTCATTCCTGAAGGGAAAGGAGCGAATAAATCCAACAAATTAAATTTTAATAATATGCTGACTACAACAGTACATGGAAAACAACACCAATGTCGTGAATGTTATCGAAATTTTGATACTGGCAATGAATTGTTTAAACACCTTAGAAACAAATGTTATCCTGAAGAAATAAGACAGCAAATAAACAAATTAACCGAACATATTAGTGATGATAAACAACGGGAACACATTTTAAAAATTTTATGGAAATATGGAAAATTATTTGATATTAGAAGACCATCAAAAATTGATATTGTTTTAAAAAATGCTATTGATACTGGTACACATCGACCAGTCCATACTCCACCATATAGGAAATCGAACAAAGATCAAGAAACCTTAAGAAAAGAAACAGATAAATTATTAAAAAATGCAATTATTGAACATTCAACATCACCATGGTCTTCACCTGTCGTTTTAGTAAAAAAGAAAGATGGAACAACAAGATTTTGTGTCGATTATCGTCGTTTGAATCAAATTACAACGAAAGATGCTTTTCCTCTACCAAGAATCGACGATATTTATGACCAATTAACAAAAGCAACATATTTTACAAAATTCGATTTCAAAGCAGGTTATTTTCAAGTACCATTAGACAAATCAGATCGACCAAAAACAGCATTTTCAACTCGAGATGGACATTTTCAATTTAAAGTATTACCTCAAGGACTTACTAATGGACCACCAACATTTCAACGTATTGTTAATCAAATATTGGGTCCGAATAGGTGGAAACATGTACTCGCCTATATCGATGACATTATTATTTACTCACAAAATTTTAATGAACATTTAAAGCACATTGAAGAAGTATGTTCATTATTACAGGAAGCAAATTTTAAATTAAATGTTGAAAAATGTGAAGTTGCAAGACCAGAAATATTATTTCTTGGACATGTAATTAAAGCTGGTACTATTAAACCTGATCCAAATAACATTCGTGGCTTGACTGATACAAGAGAACCAACATCAGCTGAAGAAGCATTTAGATTCGTCAAAGCAGCAGAATATTATAGGAAATTTATTCCAAAGTTTTCCACAATTGCTGCACCATTACATAAATATTCTCCAGCAACATTACAACAACAAAAGTATAATAAAAAATCAACATTTGAATTAACTGATGAAGCTAGAACAGCATTCCATCACCTCAAGAAAATATTAACAACGGATCTTATTCTTGATCTGCCTGATGATACATTACCATTCAAATTACAAACTGATGCTTCAACGGATGGAATTGGTGCTGTTCTATTACAAGTTACTTCCAATGGTGATCGACCATTAGCATATATGTCAAAGAAATTAACAAAAACACAAACTAATTGGCCAACAATCGAACAAGAATGTTATGCAATAGTACAAGCAATAGACAAATGGGACAAATATCTTCGTGGTCATGAATTTATATTAGAAACTGATCATGAACCGTTAGTTCATTTTACAAACAAAGAACAATTAAATAAAAGATGTGAACGATGGCGATTAAAATTAGCTGAATATCGATTTAAGGTGAAACACATACAAGGCAAGAAAAACAATATGGCAGATTATCTTTCAAGATCACCAGTCGAAATAGCTGAAGAAGATATTGAAGAACGAACTCAATATGAATCTGCATCAACACAAACAGATTTATCATTTTCATCATTAAATAAAAATTTAATTCCATTAAAAATAACAACAGCAATTACTAGAGCTCAAGCCAAGTTACAACAACAAGCAATGGCAACACCATCTATTAAACCAACAGATGAAAAAATTAATGAGCTCATCCCACAAGGGAAAGTAGCGATTGATGAAGAACCGATAATCAAACAATCAGATGAAAATCCAAACAAGATCATCCCATTTGATATGGATGATTTAAGAAAACTTCAAGAAGAAGATAAAACAACTCAAGAAATAAAAAAGAATATCAAGAATAAAAAACATTATTCTATCGAAGATGGAATATTATTTAGAAAACAACAACTACCACTTCCATCTGTGCCATATGTTCCAGCAGGACGAATACGTGGTGATATATTAAAAATTTATCATGATACACCTGCTAATGGAGCTCACTTTGGACGTGACAAAACAACAAGAAAAATTAAAGAACGTTATTATTGGCCAACAATGATAGCTGACATTAGAAATCATATCAATTCATGTTTACCATGTGCACAAAATAATTATCGTCGTCAAAAGTTACCGGGAAAATTAAAACCAATACCACCACCTGAAGGAATATGGAAATTATTAAGTATGGATTTTCATGGTCCAATAACTCCAACATCAAAACAAGGAAACAGATACATCATATCTCTTACAGATGTATTATCAAAATTTGTTATTACAAAAGCCGTTCGAGATTGTTCAGCAACAACAGCAGTGAAATTTCTTACAAATGATGTCATATTAAAATATGGTACTCCAACATGCATTTTAACTGATAATGGTACACATTTTACTTCTCAAGTTACGAACAAATTATTTGAAAATCTTGGAGTTACTCATTTATATTCAACAGTATATCATCCACAAACGAATGGACAAATCGAACGATTTAATGCTACAATGGATGGAAAAATTGCTGCATTATGCAACGAACGATGTACAAATTGGGATGAAGTCTTACAATTTGTTACATTTAACTATAATACGTCAATACATGCAACAACAAAACAAACACCTTTTGAAATGATGCATGGACGACAAGCCACTCTTCCATTCGATCAACAACATGAAATTATTTCGCTCACGCAAGATCCAGAGCATAGTCGAAAAATTAGAACATATCTTGAAAAATTAGTTAATGAAGCGCGAAACAATATTATCAAAAATCAACAACAATATAAAGCTCGATATGATTTACATAGACAAGATTTATTATTGAAAGTTAATGATTTAGTTTTAATCAAAACAAGAAATGTTAGAAATAAATTTGACATACGATATGAAGGTCCATTTAAAATTATTAAACAACTAGGACATAAAACATTCATTGTTCAACATGTAAAAAAATTAACATTAACAAGACAAGTAACAATGGATGTTATCGTTCCTTTGGTGGAACGATGGAATTTAATTTAATAACACACATCCCAAAAGGGAGAGATGTGGGATATGATAGTATAACGTGTAAAGTATGTGCATCGATAAAAGAAAAATTTATATATACATATATATAAACGCATATATTAAAAAATTTAATTTGAAAAAAAAACATTTTTTAAATATATATGCACGTGTATATTACAAAATTATTAGTTAAATCAATTAAAAATGATTGAATTTGATTCAGCAGTCCATGCCGGGGAGACAGAATTTCACCTTCTCACTGACAAGGAGGGGCTGTCAAACTCAAAAATTCATTTAAATTGACTTTATTTCATGCATATTAGTCATCGGATCAATACATTATACGCGATGACTCATCCACCAATCACAATGCATTATAATTGAAGCACTTTTATAGTACTGGCCATACTGTACAGTGCGAACAATAATTCACGTGTTCCAGTTGGACGACTTTACTATTATCTGAACATTAACATGATATATACATATATTCCACATCAAAAGGAAAGAAAAATTTTTATATATGGATAACAATGGAACTGTCCTTATATATGAAGGAAAGAAAAATTTTATATATGGATAAAAAATCGAATATCTATATATACAAAGGAAAGAAAAATTGACCTTACGGACAATGACCTTAATGAATAAATATTTTATTACGACATTGAATTATAAATTACGTATTTTCATTTTAGTTATACATCATTTGATCTTTTCGATATACAAAACAAACACACATTTATTATAGTGATTTATTATGTCTGCCTTAACAAGAAATTCATCTAATCCACCACCATACTTCTATGATTTAAATCCACAACAACAAAAGAATTGGATGAAAACTACTCGTCGAATGGAAAAAAACGAAGAACTACGGGCAGAATATCCGCCTTTTCAATCACCATCAAATTTTACAATTATTCATCTTCACCATTATTCATCAATCGAAACAGTAGAAGAATTAATAATGATGGCAAAAACAACACATATATATACAATCGACACAGAATCACAAGTAATAAACAAGGTAGCACAAGGTGCTCTTGTACAAATTCAATTTATTCATTCAATTCACGAATCAACATTAATATTAATTGAAATGTTTTACTTACCAAATCAAAATTCATTGTTATTCAAGAAAATTAAAGAACTTTGTGCAATTATATTTCGTGAAGAAAATAAAAAAATTACCTGGGGACCATTCGACAATGAATTTAAAAATTTTCATTCATATGAATTATTTGAAAAAGGTAAGATTAAAAATACAATAAATTTACAGGATCGTTTTAGTGATTGGTACAACAAACCTCCAAGTAACACGCATCCTGCAAAGGAAAGTCGTGAGGAGCAAACCACCTGGTCCTTACAAGATGCAGTTAAAATAGCTTTTCAACAATTCCTGGACAAGAACGAAACAGTTAACAAATGGCGTTGTGGATTAGACCTTAAACTCAATACATGGAAGAAAAAATTATTTAGTAAAAATCATTACAATGCAAATGAAGAACAAGAAAAAGCCAGAAAGATAATGAAAATTAATTATTTTTCAAGAAACCAATACGTCGAACGATGGGGGTAAGAAAATATTTTAAATTAAATTTAAAAAAAAAAATAAAAAAAAATAAAAAAAAAAAAAATAATAATAATAAATAAATAAATAAAAAAGAAAAATAAACAAATAAAACAATTCCACCAACAATAAAAAACAACGACAACGACAACAACAATTAGCGACAACAGCAACATCTATAAAAAAAAAATGAACAATAATAACAAACCATCTCGACAATAATAACAACAACAAAACAACAAAATCAACAACCAATCAAAACAACAAACAACTACCCCAATGACAACAACGAACACGATCACAATTTATTTAATTTAATCAAAATCCATTTCATCTATTATAATTAAATTTTACCAATCATTCAATTTCTTTCTATTCGACAACATCATCGGTATTATTATTATGATACATTCATTTCATCATCTACTTGTATGTTGAAGATTTAATTATTTCTGTTATTTATTTAAATATTTTATAAAACAATACAACAACAAATCATCACCATGAAATGTTTTAAATAATACATATGTAATATTATGAAGCATTTACAATTACACATTATCAAAATTTTATACTGAATTATTAGAACAAATTTTGAATGTAACACCAACAATACCATTACTTATGATGAATATTATTGGTGAACAACAACATATAACAATGTCAGTTGAACAAAACAAACAATAAAAATAATAGCAGCAACATTACTCGCACATTGAATAGATTATCCTATATCACGAATTCTTTAATACAATTTCATCATATTAGAGAATTAATACGTTTTACTTGGTATGTTGCATCAGATTCAAAACAAAATTCATTTGAAACAAATTTAAAAAATTTCTTAATAATATTTAATTAAAACTCGCATGTTTAATTATGAAATAATACATGCGTGTTTTTGTTCAACATTTGATCCACAAATAATGTATCAATTATATTTATGTTATCAAATTAAACGATTAATACTTGAATTAAAATGTAATACAATTGATCAAAGATTTTTTCCTCTGCTAAATGTTTATCAAAATATCCAACGAGCTATACACATATTGATATTGTTAAATCTAGATATTATTCAAGTTATCTTAATACATTTGGTGATATATTTGATATTCATACGTCAATTGATAAAGCTAATGAAGAAGAATTAGATATAAATGATCATTGCTATAATTTTATAAATATAAAAGATATTGATCAATATGTTTTTGAAACTCAATCAAAAGAAAAATTACGTTTATGATCCAGATCATTTTAACATACTATAATAGTACAAATACCTCAACTGAACATTACAACAAATGCACTT